GGGGGGCAGAAGCGCGGAAGCGACACCCACAGTGTGGAGGGAGATTCGTTTTATGCGGACAAGACTGCTCCCCAGATACCAGCTCCAGCCTGGTGGTCGAGGGTGGCCCGTGAGACAGGCAGGAAGCCCAGAGGCAGAGGGGCTTGTCCGCTGGGGGCTGGCTCTCACAGTGTGCGTCACAGTGAGTGTTCATTTCTAGGGGACAGAGCAGCTTGAGCCAGAACAGGAACGGTTGTCTGGCCCACTGAACACGTCCCCTGGGGCGGGGGATTCCTGCTGTTCTTGGAAGTCCACATGCTGGCTCAGAATCAGGAGAGTACGTCTGATCTTGCCATTTCTGCTCATCATTGCACTGGACAATTTGGTCAGGGCAATTGGGCAAGGATATACGTAAGTAACTCCAAATTTAAAATGATGAGGTAAAACTGTTGCTTCAGAGTTGACTCAATTCCATATGAGTAAAATCCGAAGATCTTAGCAGAATGTCTACTACAGGATAGATGGTCAGTGTCAAGTTCTAATTGTAGTTCTATGCACAATTTTAAAAATTCAAAACAAACAATTCTAATAAATATAAAGAATAAGACAGAAATAAATTTAGCAAAGAAGAGTAAGATATATGAACAGGTACACAGCATTGCTGATAGACATTCTAGAAGTCCCCGTGGAGGAGACACTTGGTCTTCAAAGGCTGGAAGCCTTCCTACTGCTCAGCGCAACTGTGTTCTCCAAATTGCTTTACACATGCAGACAATTTATGTAAACATCCAAGATACATTTTTTGCACAAAGTGAGAAATCCATACAACACGTTGCGGTATCAAAAGAAGCTAAAAGAATCTCAGTAAGGAGGAACAAAGTTGGAGGACAGTGGTCTACACACGCAGTGAGATGCCTATCAACATTCCAATTCTTTTTTCTTTTCTTTTTACAAACATGGACAAGCTGTCCTAACGTTCCTGTACACAAATGAACGCAAGGGACCTAGAGTATTGAAAGGAAACTGAAAAACACGTTGGAGGTTCACATTCCCTGAATTCAGAAGCGAGTACAGGCCGGGCCCTGAGCCAGTCGGCCCCAGCGTGAGGAGGACCCTAGCCCAGGCAGAAAGCCATGCGCAGGACGCGGGGCGCCACCGCAGGGGCACACGCCGCTCAGCACCGCGCGGGGGACGGCCGCGCATCTCGGCCAAGGCGCGCCCGCGTCAGCCCCACGCGCGGCAGTGGGGCGAACCGAAGCAAAGTCGCGTAGACATAAGCGTGACCGCCAAGGCTGAGCCAGTCGGCCCCAGCGTGAGGAGGACCCT